CCACCCAATCAGAACACAGCCAAGCCCCCACCCAATCAAGTCACACCCCCACTAGCAGTTAAAAGGAAGAAGCAGCTGCAAGCTCATATTACTCCGAGAAGCACAAAGCCAAAGATACAAGCCTGAAGACGACGAATGAGATTTCGTTCAAACGTCGCCAAGATACTTCCAATTTTACGCGGGGAAAAAAGCCGAATAACCAAAGATCCACATACTAATACCTGCAAAAACCTCAGAAAACAAATATATATATATATATATACATAAATTTATATTTAACATAAAAAATTATATTAAATATATTAGCGTTTTTAAAAAAATTGTATTAGTGGTCCTCAGGATTTAAAAGTATGAGTTTGGTGGTCCCTTAGATCCAAAAGGTTGGCGACCCCTGTATTAAACTATCTAAGATACTTTGAGAGAAACTATAAGTATATAAATTCATACCCAAATAGATTTGTCTACTCACTTTGGTGAAAGTACTGGTGGACTGACAAAAGACCTTAGGGCATCTTTTACCATGTCTTGCATAAGGTGTGTACCAAACACTTTTTTATTGTCCACAAGAAAAGTGGTCTGAAACAAAATGTATCTTTGTTACTTTACATGGCTAGAAACATAATTTTCAATCTTTTATTGTACTATTTCCAACTTGCCTGTAACAGTGATCTTGAAAGAACACAGGGTGATTGTTCACTAAATTCACAGAAAAAATCCTAATTTATAAACAGAGCAAGAAAACTATGGTTAATATTTTGTATAAAGTCAAACTGCTCTTTAGATATAAAATATCTTTGGACATAGAACATCTTCCATCAGCAGAAGAGAGTTCCCTACCTCTTCCTCAATGGGACATTTGAGACCCTTCTTTAGGAGTAATTATAAAAAGTAATCGCAGTATTCTATTTCAATAGTCTTTTTAAAAATTTCTTCATTCATTGTTTTCTGTTTTTTAAATTGACATATGAAACATGGAGATTTCATTTTAAGTTTAAAAAGCATTCATGAAAAAAGCCCTTGGAATTATTCAAAGAGGATGCCTTTGTTTTCCAATTAATATGTTAAAAGTATTTATACTTACTAGTATGCAATGCAAATTGGTTAAATTGATGACTTCGCATACAGTTTTGATTCGTTCTATAAGTTTTGAAAAATAGTTAACCATTTCTTCTCTTTTAATAATTTTTGCATATCGAGGAAAAGTTGGAGGGAGCAATCTCTGATTAACTAGTGGCTCAAAGCCCATCATTATAGGGTGATCTAAAAAAGTAATAAAGAATTCAGTTATGATTCTCCATTTAAGTTTTCTGTTATATAATAGTTAGCTAATCAATTAACAGTTTATCCATTAAGGAACAACTTTCAAAGTTTTAATTCTGTCAGCTAAGCAATTTAAGATTATCAAAATTTATTGAACAGCAAAGCATTCAAGTACAAGGTATAGGTAATAAGGAAGCAAAATGAAATATTGTGCATAAAAGGATCAGTCTCAAGACAAGTAAGTTCTGAAAAAATCACACAGCAATACTACTTATTTGTAAAATCTGAATATACAATGACAGAAAGCTAGAAATCTGAACTTATCCTATGAAGGAGAAAAGAGAATATTGAAGATACTCTCAGTGAAGATCCCCAGTTGAGAAAGGATGAAAGAAGGGCTCATAGACAGTCTGAATTTTGCTAAACCATTTAAGAATTCTATAGCTGATCTCAATGACACACAAAAATGACCCTCTTTTTCTTCCAACAAACTACTAAATATTTCTATTTCTAAAATCTCAAATCTGAAGTACCTCCTTGTACTAACAGGAAGTTTTGAATATGTCTGTGTCTCAGGAAGAATGCCAAACTGAGACAGAAAAGTTTAAAATAACCCTCTTCCCCAGTAAGAGCTAGGGAACATTCCTAAAAGTAAATGCTTACCTCCTTTGGTGGTATCATTCTGAGCCTGAATACCATGATGTATTAAATTGTGAATCGCAGACAGCAAATCAGCAGCCTGAGTCAGCAACTTCTGAGCTTCTGCAACTGCACTAATCTGTTCAGAAACAAATTTTAAAAGCTTATGTACAATAAAACAATTGCTGTGTTAAGAATTTGTATGAAAACAGTATAACATATTAGTGTACCTTACTCTATCATATCATATCCTTGCTTATGCATATTAGATCTAAAGATGCATCTCATCTTTAAACATTCATTTACTTTATGATACTTTAAAAATTCAAAATCAGTCTTACAGTCTTGATTATTGTAAAGTAAAATTACAGCTTTTAAAATGGGTAGTGGCAACATGGCCCCTCATTCCTCTAAGAACTCTACCTACCTCAAAATGTTGCAATTGCTACAGTGGAATTGCTTGAGTTTTCAGCAAAAACTGAAATGTCAAGCAATGTCAGCTTAAGTTCCCATGAGATTTCAGCCCTGACAAGAGCATTCACATTAACATGTAAGTGTGTGCTCTGGGCCAGGGGTCCCCAACCACCGGTCCGCGGACCGGTCCCGGTCCGTGGAACAAATCCTACCGGGCCGCTGGTTTGCTGGGCAGCGCCCAGCTGATGCCGGTACCGGTCCGCGGCATAAAAAAGGTTGGGGACCACTGCTCTGGGGCATGAAATTCTGAATTTTTTGAGTGTATTTTGGCACCTTATATTCTCAGCTTATCAGTGAGTATATATGGTAGTTTCTAAATGTAGAAGCTCTACATAATAACCTGCATGAACTTATAAAGAAACAATCTGAGGCAATTAAAATGTGTTTAAGAATATTCAATTAATAATGAGTAGATATTTAGGAAGGTAGACAATGGAAAAGGGAGAAATGTTTAAAATGAATTGTCAGGACATAGATGCAGATAGGGATAAAGAATCCAAGAGACAAATATGGGGGGCAAGTTAAAAAACGAACAATTAAAGCTTTAGAGCGGACAAGAGATGTTAAAAGTTAGAATAGGGGTAGAAATAAGAGAGGGGGGAATATTAGTATACACATTTTTATACAATAAGACAAAAGTAATAAGAGGAAAGATTAGAAATTGAATGATGGTATTATTATGTATGTTTAAACAGTATTGTGATTGGCACTGGAATAACGTACTGAAACACTGAATAATTAAATAATGAAAGTCTATAATTTAATACAAATATGTGTATCAACACTAGAACTACATAAGCTTGTGGAATGGAACAAATTTGATTACTAGCACTATTTTTATTTGTACTAAAATGTATGATACCCAGGTGCCACACTGTTCACACATTGATATGGATATATTGTAAAATAAAATAAAAAACGTGAAATCGTAACAAAAGAATATTCAATTAATCATACCTCTTTTTTGGTAAAGGCTATTAATACAGTCAGTAATATCCGAGTAAACTTCACTCTGCTGAAAACTGCAAAGCACTGCTGATGCTATTGGAAAATTAATTTCAAAATTAATAATTTAAAAATATTATATAAGAGGAGGTTTGTAGCTTAAGCTAAGTTCGTTACGTATATATGCATATAAAAGTTGTGTAGTTACTCTGAACACTGAAACATCTGGATGAGTTAAAAATAATAGTTCGTCAGACGAACACAATACAGAAGCCTGATGATGGCAGATGAGATTCTGCCGAAACGTTGCTACAACTTTAAAAGCACAACTACAATGACTTGGGAAAATACCCGAACAAAGCTGAATACCAACCATGTATGTGTGTGTGTGTGTGTATTCATTCCCTTTTTCAGCTTAGGATGCTTTTTATGTAACCTTAAACAGAATACAAGCATTCTTACTTCAAGTTCTACTTCTGGATCTCTCTCTTCTCCTTGTCGGCTTCGAGTGCTCTAAAATAAAAGGCATTACAACAATTTAATGAAGTATTATATAATGAAGTATTATATAACTTCATAGTCCAATGTCATATACATGTCGTCTTTGTGCAAAAATAAGTAATATGTTCTATATTATAAACACTTACTTAAACTTCCAATTCACTTATGGAATCAGAATCGAAGTACTTATGAAATGTGTATCCATCCCATTCACATCTAAAGCATGACATCTAAACATCCTTTCATAGTCCTATATTCATTCCTATCTGATAAAGTCATTCAATTCAAAAATAAATTTCAGTTAAACAACAGCCTTACATTTTGGGACAAGATCACAGAAATTAACAATGTAACAAGCCAAATACCTACCAATATCCCAATTCTTGCTATTCATACTACTGGTATCTCTGTACCAAATATATCATACAGCATGGAATGACTTTATTTTACATTTTAAAGTGTAGCACTCCAACTGTTTTACCGATTCTCTACGTTATATCATCAAAATATTAGTGTTGTATTTTTGAACAATTTGTCCATATTTCATTATACTAGAAATAGCCTTATATACCTAACTTCTGAAATAGCCAACAGAAATACCTTAACTCGCCGTTGCAGGTCATCTTCAACATCCTTTAGCATACCTTTAGCATGGAAAAAATATTACTCAGTTCAGCAATATGAATGCTACTGGGGGGGGGGGGGAAATTACTTATCTACAAAAGTCTGAGAACATGATCAACAGATCCTGGTGTTTTCCAAGACTCTATTGAGCTGGTTTTTTTTTTACTTTTTTAAAAAAAGAAAGACAGCATTTTGGTAAAGCATCAGCTGCTTGGTTTCCAGTTGCCTTAAATTCTATCCCTGCTTTTAGTAGAGGTCTCTAGGGCCAAAGCAATCTAGAAAACTTTTTGGAAAGGGCAGGAGGCAAGATTACTTTTAGCCACCAATCAAAGATGAAAAATTTAATCAATATACTATATTTCTATTAGGAACAGTACTGAAGACAGGCAATGATACAGATAAAAATAACTTCAGGAAAAAAAAAACTAATATACCTGGCTAAGAATTTGCCTTAAATTAGACTATGGTTTTCAGTGTGGTCCTAGGTCTCCTTGTGTTTAATTCTTTATACTAATTAAAAACTTGGATGTTCAGTTTTTATTCCTACTTCAGAGTGCATGCATTAAAAACATTTTTCTTTAGAATCATACAATCTGTAATACTACTTTGAAATTTGTTTATTTTATTCAGAAAATGTATATAGCTGCTCAGTTGCCCAAAGCAACTCTAGGTGGCTTACAACCAACAAAAAGACATAATATAGAAAAGAAAAACAAACAAACGATGATAGTGTGCACAACTTAGACATTATTCGCTCAAGCTAACAGATGGCTATATTCTTCCAGTAAAGAGACAATGAATTTGAATTTTACCTGTAACTCGAAGATCTGTCACACTGTTTGCCATTTTAAAACCATATGTCATAGACTGAAAATCTTCCTAAATACAAAAGCGGGTGGGGGGTGGGAGGGCGTGGACAACAAAATTTTAACATTCAAAATTTTAGGAATTAATACTATTCCCATTTCTGTATGACTTGCCCCATAGCGCATATTTTATATATATATAGTTTCCTAAATAATACCATAAACATTGATGAAAAAGGAAGCTTTATGATGGTAGTGATTTCAGGTTTAATTTATGAAACTAGTTTAAATGAACTGCATTTTCCTAATTCAAAAATTACAAGAAATCTTGTTTTCAATTGAAAGAGAGATTTAATTGGTTTAGTCACAAGCTTTCTTACTTTATGGATTTGTTCATAATAAATAAAACAGCACATATATTTTAAGAACATTTATATGGCTGCATAACTCACTCCCAGCTTTTATTGGCATTTTGAGTTTTATGAAATACTTCCAACTAAGTAAGGGCAAACCTGTTTTAACAGCACTCAGTACAAGAAGGAGGGATACATCAAATGCAAAGTAATGAAGAGTTTTGCATCCATACATGTAAGCTACCCTACAACTATAGATGTTCCAGAAAGTGTATCTTTAACTGAAAGTTAAAGAGGAAAACTTATAAACCTAGCAAATAAAATGTAAAAGTGAAATTAATATCCTGAGAAAGAGCCCACTATAATTAAAAAGACAAAGATACTAAGGGATAATAAAAATAATGGATAAAAACTGTAAGGATAGCCAACTACATTTTGCAATTTTATTGAAAGTGGGAAAACATTAAGTCAAGAAGAAACTCACCTCTTCAAATACTGCTGCTTTGTTTACTTTTTCTCTAGCAATATCGCAAATTTTCAGGATACCCAGGGCAAATGCCTTCATGGCAGGATCCTCAATGAAGTCAGGATTATGAATGTAGAGACAGGTGAATACTGTCTGTGCCAAGGAATGGCCTTCTAGCCACGTTATCTGAAAATATTGAGTAGGTAATAAGGAATGTGAAGCCATTTGTGGGGCATCAAAAGATTTTTTTTAAAAAAAACTTGTTTTGTCCTGAGCATGGAAGAAACTTTTGAAAAATGTCTTGCTTTGTTATCCACACAGAGCTCTTGAAAACGCTACTCTTGAGCCTGGAATATTTTTTTCACAGTCCTGGTATAAATAACGCATGGATATAGTAACATACACAGACACAAACTCCTCTCATTAAGTATCTACTTAAATATCTATCTAATACTATGATAATGGTTATACCTATGATGACCATATTTTCTTGGAAAAAACAAAAGATAAATCTGAAAAAGGGACAAGCCCAAAAGAGGTTCATAAGGATAACAAAAATTGTGCATATTTGTAACTTTGCTTTACAAAGGAAAACAAAAGAGTGAAACCAAGAAAATAATGAAATGAAATCAATCTAAAGGACACCTTGCTATCCCTTATAATAAAGGGTATATCACTGTTGTAAGTTACACCACAGATTAGCCCCCAGTATACTCTAGTTTTGACTAGACTTCATTTACTTTCATTAGGGCCAAGTGGTTGATGATGTTAATGGTGCAATATACCAATGTACAGCCATAAGAATCCTGATCTAGCCAGGGCCTTTGTAATATGGACCGTTATCTGAGAGGGGGAAAAAAAGCCAGATAAACCCCTTCCTAATTCTGTCCAGAATACTGTAGTCTATTGTGCCTTGATATTTCAATTCCATTCATGGGCTGCACTGACATATGGCTATGCTTCCTGGCTCCCTGTTATAAAAGAAACTGATTGTACCCATCCCATATGATTATCATGTATGGAAAGAGAAAGTTTTTGTAAGTTAAACAAAGGAATTCCACTTTATTAAAGTTGTGTCCAAACACAATGGCTTTAGAAATTATTTGTTTCAGAAAACGCACCAACGTAATTTTCATGCACAATGAAGACTATTTTAGCACAAGTAATCTTATTATCTTCAATAAGATCTACTCTCTAAATCAGGTTTTTGGAGCTACAACCTTGAAAATTAGTTAATAAATTTGACTTAAATTCAGAATTAAAATATTCTGCGCAAGCTACTTTTATTAATCCAAGTCTACTTTTATTTATCCAAAACCTACTTTAAGGGCTTAAAAAATGTTATTTCCATTCATGTAAAATTAAAAACATTAGATTCTTACCAAGCAGCAAAAGCAAGTGTCCATTATTCCTATCAATTCAGGCAAGGATAAATCTTTAACTTTAATGGTCCCATCCTTTAAAAGAACAAGGGGAAAAACTTGAATTTCTATTAGTAATAAGTGAAAATAAAATTGTGAGAAAATATTTTCATTCACTGTTGCAATTACTAGCTGAGACAAGGGACTTGGTTCTCTTCTGACAGGCACAAATGACTGACCTATGAAGGAGAATAAAAAGGACGATCTATTACTGTAGCAGTTTTTCTCACCAGATTCACTATTGTAATCTAAAGCCTCAGTGTGCTCTCTAACATAGAAAACCCTGCTTCTGTTCACATCCCCCTAGTGTGATACAGTCATTCACACTTTGAACTATCCTGCCCATTATGGTCTTTATTCCCAACAAACATAACTACAATCCTCTCCTGCAGAAGGTCATCTATTCCTGCAGAATATGAATGCTGACATTATTTACAATAGGTATTTGAGTTACCCTGTTTTCATTTTGCTAGCTCGTTTTTTAATTTCCTGTATTGTATAACTTTGGTTAGGACTAACTCCTGATTACTCTGTAAATCATTCTGAGAATCTCAAGATGTTTTTAGATTCTTAAATAGTGAGTAATAAAAAAATAAGATAAGAGAATCCTGGATCAAATGTATTATTTCAATGCCTTTCAATCAGGCTCCAGGATGGAATAGAAACAGCACTGCTGTTGCTCCACTGAATGACTATCAGCACCTGAATGAGCATAGGGCAATCACATATCTTGTTAAACCTCTCAGCAGCATCCAGTATCATTCATCATTATTATAGTCCTGAGTGGGTGGATCTAGATAGTGCAATCAAGAAAAAATAGCTGCTGGCTCCTCCTAGTGGGTTGCTACAGAACTTACGCTCATTTTTTTAAATTTAAATTTATATGCTGCCCAGCTCTGGTATCACAGATGCTGCAAATTATCTTTATTCAGTATCTCCTTCAGGAATATTGAAGGACTCAATCGGACAAAGCCTGCTCAAACTGAAAATCAGAAAGGTAGGAGTATTTTCTCAAAAACCATTCATTCCAACAGTGGCTCTAGATAAAATTATATTCCCCTTATATAGCGAGTCTACAATCCGAGGGAACTCAAGGATTCAAGATTCTACTTATATAGCTGATAGCATCCACAGATGACAAAAGTCATGATTCTTTGCCTAGCTTTTGAAATCAAATATTTTAGCAGGCTTTTCTAGTTTTTACTTCATTTTTAACTCATAATGCTCTTTCTTATAACTCAAATGTTAATAAAAACTTTTATTGTTGTTCTTTTGATAATACTTTAAACTACCTTAAGCCTATTTATTTTGCAGGATACAATTTATATAATAAACATAAATATCATCTACCCTCAACAGAATTATTTCATTGAGTGTTTTTAAGATGTTTATGATACAGAGACATTCTTTAATTAGGATCAAGTTTCAATGTGCATGATTTGCTCTAAACCTGAAAATCAAACTCATGATTGTTCAGCATTAACTGCTATCAGAAGTCATCTGTTTTTAAATATTATTTGTTGGTTTTTTTCCTACTAATCAGTTGAAGGATCTTTGGTGTAGTATAAGGAAGAAAAAGAACTTAAAAGTCCTTTATCTCAGTCTTAATGAAAGAAATTCACACTTATTACAATTATTTGTATTCATGTAACAATGAATTATTTTTATAATTCATTAAACAGTTGATACTAAAGCTAACCTTGATAGCTTGTTCGAAGTTAAGAACTTTACGATTAACTTGGTTTCCAATCATACCCGCATCCATCTTAGGATCCATCATTTCAATAGCAGACATGGCTTCAAACAGACCAAAACTAAGGATGTTTAGAAAAGAAAACTATGTTACATTAGCAACTTAAACAAAATTAATGCTTCTGGTTAAAATGTATTGTGCAAACTTAAATATCCATCTTAAAAAGTACATCCAGAATATACTCTTAAGCAAGTAGAAATGGAGAATGTGAAAAATTACTAATGAATATATTTTCAGTAAAAAAAGCAAATCTAACTAGGTATTAAATGTAGAGCTTGAGTATTATTTTGTTTTCCGTAATTTTTATCTTCATCTACTTTTACCATTTTTATAGTAAGAAACCAGATAATTAGACCAAAAGATATCTATGCTAACATAAATGGTCAACATCCCATACATATATTATACAGTCCGTTATATAACTCTATAGCATTTTGAAATGTGTCTCCTTTCTATTTGTTACTGACCATACCCTTAATTGTGAAAACTGGAATACATAGAGAGAAATGTTTACTGATTATTGTACTTAGGGCAAATAACCTCTCTCTAAAACAGGGGGGTCAAACTTGTGGCCTGCAGGCCAGATGAGTCATGTGATGGCCCTGCCCCCACCTAGTTTAGTGAAGGGGAAAAAAAGTCCCCATATGTCATGTGACAACGCTGTGACAATGCGAGTTTGACAACCCTGGTCTAAACTAAACATTAAGCAAAGCTCTCCACTTCCATTAAAAATCATTTTTAGAAGCATTATCACCCCTATTTATACTGGTTTGGATTCAAATTTAAAAGATTCATTGAAGTTAATGAGACAACTGGATTCAATACAGTATGTTCCTAATTTTTTCTGTAACTTCTAGCTTCCTAACTCAAGCAGCACATTTCAAAAAATAACCCCGATAACCCCAAGCCATTAACACCAATGACAAATGCCAGTGTTGTCTCAGCAAAGATTCATATGAAAATCTAACACCAACTAGTTGAATGAAATTTATCACAAATTCCAATGTTTAAATGACCAATGTATTAAAATAAAAAAATAAAATGATGTAATAGTGTTTCTACAGTATCAAAAATCACTGAATCTAAATCTATTTTTTATGACAAAAATATATATTTCAAGCTTTAACAGATTTTTTTTCTTGAAACATTATCAGAACAAATAGAGAATATTGCCTAATTTCAAACAGTTTATACAGAATTTAAGTTTGATTGAAGATGTATATTTTACAGTAATACAAATTTTAATTGTTTGTCCATACTACTCATATAATAACATACACTTTTATACCCAAGGTGTCAGAATGTACCACTGAAATGAAGGATCTACCAAGCATTTGTTTCACATCTGAAGATATATATATTTATTTATATATATATATATAACAAGTATAAACTACTGTTCTTATGATAAACTCACAGTTTGTCATGAAGCAACTCTCCTAACTTCAATTCTAAAAAAAGAATTACAAATGAGAAATTAGAAAACACTCCAAATGGTTTTTTCATATACATCATATAATCAAAAATAAATTCACACTGTGAAAGTATATATTGGTATAGGTAGTCCTTGACTTATGACCAGCTGCTTAATGACTGTGTAAAGTTACAACCAACCCTCAAAAGCTACTTATGATCTAGTTTCAAACAACTGCTGGTCATGGTCTGATGACCAAATTTGGGGCAATTGGCAATCGGCCTGCATTTATGGCCATTTTCAGGAGACTGTCAGTTCTAGTCCTGCCCTACACATGAGGTTGGCTGGCTGATCTTAGCCCAGTCATTCTCCCTCAGTCCTAGGAAGAAGACAATAAGCCACTTCTGAAAAATGTTGCAAAGAAAACTGCAAGGACTTGTCCAGGCAGTCGCCAGGAGTTCAATCCTGACCAGAAGATACAAAATAAAACAAAAAACTTGCTCAGATAGCAGATTTTATGAGAACTGGGAATTGCCTCCTTTCTCATGCAAATCTCTTATCACTTGAACACCTACTTAGAATACTGGGATGAGCCTCAGGAACAGAGTGAAGGCTCTGAAAAGATGCACTCCAGAAATGTCCCGTCATTATGAAAAAATTGAAAAAAAAACACTGGGAAGTTTTCAAAAGTGGGAAATGTTCATCATTTCATTTTCATTGCACAAATGCTGATACTAGTTATAGAGGAGGACAAGATGCAAGACACAAAAGGGTTGTGTCATCTGATGCTGTTAGTTAACTGAGTTTTGACAATTCAGGGCAATCAAAACTATTTGACACTTTCAAGTAATACCGTTCAATCCTCTCCAGAAAAATCTTTGGTTATATATTGTAAATTTTCTCATAATACTCTCACACAATTCCTATTTATGTTTAGAAGCACCATCTAAACCCCATATTCAGCATGACTTACCTTTACAGCAATCTTCAAAATCTTGGGTGATGTCTATCCAGCTTGTGTTACCCTTTTCCATCTTCTCAGCTATATTCATCTCCCATCCTGAATCATCATCATCTACAGCAGCTTTCATAACCATGGCCTTAAACCTGCACAGATGTTAGGACATTTAAAAATTAAGCCTGGAAACTCTAGCAGTCTAGCCAAAGGACAGTGGACCCGTTTTAACTCCATTTTCTGCATTTATACAGGTAGTCCTCCACTTATGACCACAGTTGAACCCCAAATTTCTGTTGAGAGATTTATTAAGTGAGTTTTGCTCCATCTCACGACCTTTCTTGCCACAGTTGTTAAGTGAATCACTGCAGTGATAATAACCTGGTTGTTAAGTGAATCTGGCTTCCTCACTGACTTTGCTTGTCAGGTAGCCAAAGGGGATCACATGACCCCGGGACACTGCAATGGTGGTAAGTGTGCTAAGTATGAACCAGTTGCCAATCATCTGAATTTTGATCACGAGCAGGGAAATGCTGCAAAGGTCGTAACTGTGGAAAAACAGTCACAAGTCGCTTTTTTTCAGTGCCATTGCAACTTTGAACGCTCACTAAATGAACTGTTGTAAGTGGAAGGCTACCAGTACAATGGACTGACCCCCACCAGCTGTGTCATTACACCACGCTTCCGATTCAGAGTATCCAGAAAGCAGAGCCAGAGACTTTAAAACACGGTTTTGCCTATCGCTGTGCTAAGAGCGGCCGAGGCTAGTTGGGAGAAGCCTTTGTGCCCCACCAATACCCAAATCGGCGAGGTGCAGAGAGGCAGGCATGGTATCCCTCGACCCCAGACAGAGCAAGGAAGGATTCCTCAGCAAAGGGAGTCTAGGGAGTCGGCCTCTCACCTGCCTGCCCACCGGAGATGGTGGCCACGTTGGAATGCTGCTTCTCAGCCCCGCAACTGCTATTTCTCTAGCCGGCAGCACGTGACGCGGGGTGGGGAGGAGAAGAAAGGTGGGCGTCGCTTACTCGGTCTCCTCCGAGCCTCTGCCCTCCGGTCTCGCGCAGCCGGCTGGAGAAAAAAACAACACAACTACTTCCCTTTCCCTTCCCCAGCGTAAAACCATTCAGCCGCAGCGAAGGCAGAACCCCCCCCTGCTACCGCGCTTGCGCAGAATTCTATTTACTTGACGAACCCCGGATGAGAGGGCTCTAGGGTCTGTGGAACCCTGTTTTTCCATAGAGATAAAAAGAAGAGAAGGAGCCACAGAATGCAGACCGGATTTCCTGTCGCGGTTCTTTGTTGGAACTCTCGCTTCTCTGAATGGTAACCACGGTTGGCAGCGCTGGGTTTTCAAATTCAGATTGGATTTCTTTTTCTTTTTTTTAAATCTATACCTGTCCGAGTGTCTAGATTTTTTTTTTCATTTTAAAATGTACTGTAAATTTTTCTATGCGTTATATATTCTATGTATTAAGTGGTTAAAATAATGAAATTTAAAACTGATCTTTTGTGGATTTTATTTGCTTTTGTTAATGCGTGTAGAATCTGGGCTTATTTGAGTTGGGTTTATTTGAATGCGAAATCTTAGTTATTTTTTAGAAAACCCCGCCGGCAACTATTCGAATTGCTTAGAAGAAAATCGGGCTTTTAGTGTAATAGTTTCGAAATACCAAGTTCTTTTCAACAAACCAACTCAGAAAATAGAGAAATTCTCGTGTGTTTCCCCCCCCCCCCCATCTTTATGTCAGCGCAAAAGTCATATTTCCGTTCTGTAATCTTTATGCACCACTGCACTGCATTGTCTGATTTCATTATAGCCCTTCTCATAATTAAACAGGGATTTTTTTTTCCATATTGTAAGTTGCAGCTTGTGGGAATGTGGCTTTGTTTTTTTTGCATGACGTATGCTACCTATGGCTAAGTGATCCCTGATTTACTTATCTCGGTTCTCACAATTCCTTGTATTATAAAAAAAGGTGCTTTGGCTGGTTTTATTCAGCTGTCTACATTTCTTGTGTTGTAAAAAAATCAGCCCGGTTTTAGTTAAATGGCCTTTTATATTATCCACATTTGGAAAACAGTAAACTGTAAATACTGTGTTTCTCATATAATAAGGCCGGGTCTTATTTTTTTTTTTGAGCCCCGAAAAAACGGCTAGGCCGTCTTTTTGGGGGTGACTTAATTCCCCCCCCCTTGCATCTTAGGGCGGGCGGCGACGGCGAGGGCTTGGATGTTGACCTCGGCGTTGGTGGGGCACAACGCAGGCAGCACCATATCCAGGTGTGCAACAAAAGTACTTCCTAACAGCAAGCCCCCCCACCATTTCCTCCCCATTCGCATGTTTTAATATAGGCCTTAATTTGGGGGGAGGGGCTTAATTTCATTTCATGCCTATAAAACATGCTGGGACTTCCTATTGGGGGAGGCCGTATTGTTGGAGAAACAGGGTAGTTTTTCCAAAGCTTGGTTGTTTGCCTGCAGATGTTTCATTATCTCATTAGTAACATCATCAATGTTTTCCTCTGAACTATGAAAGAGAAGCAGCCAAAAAGTAATTCAGAGCTATTATATTTATTTTGCAGATCTGGGGGTGTTAGCAGAGAAAATAATATGGCAACTCAGTAATTAAATCTAGTATTATCATTAAATCATAGAGGACAAAAGGGAAAAAGGTAGCTTAAGATACAGGCTGGTTCTGATCTTTCTTTGCTGCTAACCGTACATTCATATGCTTAACTTAGATGTAATTGACTGATTTATGCCATATTATGTATACCGTAATACAAACATAACTCTGTGAAGCCAATTGGATATGATATCTCTAGCAATAAATGTTATTTTTGAAAGATTTATAACATGTTACTTGCAATACGAAGCTGCCATATAACCTACAATTAAATGTAAACATATTCAAGTGTAATACCATAGTAAAATGCAAATGAAGTTTAAGTAGATGAAAGGAATAATACTAAATACTAAAAGTATTTGTAACTTTATTTTGAAAGAGCTAGAAGCTTAGAAAATAAAATTAGCTTGGCATTCACTTTTGAGCATGTGTCATAATTAAGTCATAGAGGTGCAATAATTTTAAGGATTAAAGAGTGCAGGCAAACCAAAAGGTTAATATATATATATAAACCTTCCACATTCATAAATTGATCATCCCATCTGAGTTCTGATAGAACTGCAGCTCACACAAATATGGATTGTTATCACAGATACGAATTGCTGTCACCATTTGTTCTTGCTGTGCCTAAAAAAATCAAATAGTAAAGTCAGAAGTTTTTACACTTGCTGCTATAAAGAGCAGTTCAAAAGAAATGAATGAGTTTGAAAATTCCTGACAACTGATTACAGGTATTATATAATATTAAGCTACATCCCAGGTAAAATGGTTTTGAATTTATTTCTAGTGAAAAGTTTTTATATTATGAATTTGTAAGGTTTTATTTCTTAAATTCTGATTACTAAAAATGAATATTATATTCTTGTCCAACTCTAACCATAATGAAGTCATGAGTTCTGTTTTGGTTGGGAGAGGAAGTTTTTGGAGGGTGTCAAAGTATTATTATAATTTTTAAAGCAACATCTTTTTAAAATATGTTGTAAACTTAATATTTCAGAAACTTTTGCTGATATTAATTGCTCAGTGATGTATAAATACCTATGTGCCAGGAAGTCCTAAAACATGATTCTGTGTTATAGAATCAAACTTTATTTTTCAAAATTCAGCATGTACATGTGTAAGCTAATTCAGTAAAAACAAATGTATTGATGAGTTGTACGATGTAGTCATGAAAGCAAAATATTACATTTAATAAATAGAGCTTCATTCTTACTAATATTACTGCTGCAACCAGACCTAACACTGATTGCCTTGTGGAATTTTATCCAAATAAGAAAAAATAAAGCTGAATTATATAGTAAGATTAATGCAACATTAAAGAATAGCTGTAGAAAAACAAAACATGTTGCTTAAAACATCAGGAATGTATAAAAGATCCAAGAAAAACGTTCAATCGTGGGAAAGAAGTCAACCTATTACAATCTATTATTAGCACAATCACTTTATCCCCAAAGGCTGGACTATTCTTTGCCATTTTTCCTATTCTGGAATAGGAAACATTCAAAACCACACTGGCACCCGAGATGTCCCATGACTTTAGGATTTTTGTTTGAGGCAAAACATTTAACATGGAAAGTATATTTAAAAATTCGGAAAACTCGAAGAGTTTCCTGAAAACTAAATTTAGATTAGTTAGGTCAGTTTAAGACCTAACTAGAGGACTGGGAACCAGGATCTCTATATATTCCTGCTTCAACTGAAGGACAACTTTATTGGATTATCCAGCGTTTTCTGGATTATGTATATGAAATCCAGTATATAAATAAATAAATAAAAGAAAAAGGGCAGGCAGCAGCACGTGCTGAGAGAAAACGGCTCAATCCCGGCCGCCCCCTTCGCGCCATCCCTTGGCGGGAGAAGACCGCAGTCCAAGGGGAAGGGCGTTTAGCCGCTCGGCCCGCCCTGGACGGAGAGCATGCGCAGGCTGCGGCTGGGCACGCGCGCGGCGGGGGTGGGGGGCCGTGAGAGCGCGGTGACGTCGCCAGGATGCGGGCAGGTTTCTGCCGCGTCCTCGTTCTCCCGTCGGGCGTGTGCGGAGAGTCCGGGCTCGGCGACACCGGAGCCGCGGCGGCCGCTGTCGTTGCCTCTCCGCGGGAGTGGCAGTCGGCGCCTTTGGCGCTGGGTCTGGCCTCGCTTCCTCTCACCTGCGTCCCTCCGAAGCCAGGCCTGCCCGCTCTCCCTCCATCTTCTCGCCGAAGGTGATGCAGTGTTGAGGTACCAGCGCCCGGACCTTAAGGAAGATCGCCGCCCCCTACCTGAAAAAGGTGACTGACATAGCCCGGGGTGGAAGGACACTCGGCTTATTTATTTATTTATTTGATTTGCCAATTGTTTACAAGATAATAAGTATAAGTGTATACATAGTTGTGAATACATGAAATGGGTACATATAAGAAAAATAAAAGAAGAATAAGAGAAACAATAGGACTTGACTTGTCCCTTTAACAAGCTTTGCCTGTCGGCGGAGTTTTTCAATGGTTTCTGACCTCTGGCGGCGGCACCAGCAGAAGCAAACGGGATAAATATGGAAAGGGGGCAGTTTAGACGAGGGAATTGGTGGTCTCTGGAAATGATCATCATGGTGATCTCGCTAGAATAGAAGCAGTAATTCTGGAATGGCTGGCCTCTCCTCCCCCCCACTAAATTTTCTCTCCAAGTATCCTATTTTTCAACGTTCACCTTCATTAGATCACTGTGTCACAAGGTCTGTTTTTTGGGTGGGGGACCGGTTTATTTTCTGGAATAAATTAGACTAGATTTGAAATCGCGCCTGATTAGGATTCGCAGTGAAATGATGTCGGGTGGCGTTTAGGTTTATTAAATAGGCATGACTTGTTAGTTTTTCACAGTTGTGGGGGGGAGGGTGTTCTAAAAATAGCCCATTTGTTTCTTAACTTTCTTTTCCTTGCCACAAAAAAAGGTGATTTATATAGAAACAACAATACAATTAAAAATGGTTAAAGCAGTCCAAATGGATGCCAAGGATATTTTAAAAACAAATCTTATCATTGACACACAGCAACATTCAGTGTGTATGGATGATAAGCAGCATGAAATTGTATATGGTTAGAATTCCAATACAGCTCAGTAAAACCCAGTTTGCTGTCATGGATGTTTGTGCAGGTGTTTCCCATGCATACCCTGCTGTTCTTTTCTCCCTAATTCCTGCTATAAGCACAACACACTTATGTATTTGTGGGGAGGGGGATCTGGAGAAAAATGTGTAAAGAATGCATAGTTTTTCAGTTTCTCCTAATGCCTAACTGCAATTGCTTAAGTATTGTGAAAGAATCCCGCTTTTGATGTGATTGGCTTTGACTCAACAGATGTACACTCAGCCATTATAATGTATAAAGTCTAATTTATGTATCTGTGTTATATAGCTTGTTCAAGAAACCATGATTCAAATAAAGTATGATTTCATTTGATGTGTTCCTTTAACTGAACATGGTTGGAGTGAGCCATATAAGATATTTCTAGATAAAAGGAGGCATGAGGAAAAGCC